TTTTTTCGTTTCTGATTTGTTGCTAGAGATCTTTCGAATCGGTTTAATACATTTCAACGATCTCTTCTTGACTGATTACTCTACGTTTTAAAAATTGTTTTTGTGATGATGATTACTATCGTTTCATTATTATTATCACTATGATACACCTGAGAATGTGAATTTTTTACTTTGTTTTTCCATCACATTTTCAATGTATATCCTTCATGTATTTCTAGTAAACCGCGAAAGTTTTGGGTTTTGTGAGATATACAAACTTAAGGATGAGAATGCCTTTGAGGCTTGCACTCACGATTAATGATTTCTGAGGCCAACTGTTATCAACTTATGCAGTTCGCACTAAAACATTGTTCGTGCTCACATGTGATACAAATGTCTGTGCGGAAAACTGTAAGAGCCATTGATCTGTGGGGAGTATGCTTGAAAACAACCGCACAAGATGAGATGCTTAAAGGAGATTTCTACACGCAGTCGATTCGATTGCACACGAGAAGAAAGTGAAACCTTTAATTTCTTTTAAGCTCAGCTAATGACATCGAAAAGTATTTCAATTGGCTTATACTAGAATTCCAGCGTTGCCAGTGTTGCAGTGAAATTTTGGATGAATGCATTCACAGTGTTAAGAGGAATTTTGAAATGGCACACACCACAAATATCAATAAATGTGCAGATGTTTAAGAATAATGGATGAATGGATGTAGTGAAATAATGGTATGAAAAGGAGATTATCACTTGAAAAAACAGTGACGCGTGCAAGGCAGAAGGATTATTCCAATAAATGCTCTCCGAAGATATTCCTCAACGAATGTTCACTTTATGGCTTTACGTTCTCGCATTATTACCATTAGTTGACTGGAATTGCACCTGTTATCCATCGCTAATGCGTAAACGTTCAAATGTTTTTATGTCATTTCATGAAAATATTATATTTCATGCAGAAAAAATCTCTTCGCACCAATATGCCAGTGATTTTTCTTTATTGTCAAAATTAACAAGAAAATTCACGAAATTCTCGTAAAAATAACAGCATGTTGGTAAGATCAACGAGATAAATATTGCTGCTACATGGTATGAGGATACTTATCATCCGAGCAGTGAAAGCACTTCTTATTAGTTATTTCGGTGGGAATTATGATTGATATGGGTTGTTCACAATTCGATTCTCATCTAGGAGTCGTTAATGAATGTCACACACGCAAACAATATCAGGTAAAAGAGAGTGCAGGTCGTGAATGACAATTCTGCCATAATGCCCTTGCATACGCCCGGCGATGCTTGCTACTTCATCGTCAGATTCGAAATTACACTCACACTTGTAGTATTCTGCAGTCAGTGCTTTCTGGCCACTTGAATGCTCCTTTTGAGATGAGCTCAATCGTCGTCGGTGATTCGCCAGTCGATAGTGGCTCGTGAAATTGGACGAGTTCATCAGTTGCTTCCCGTTTCTTCGCAATCGTACATTAGCTTCTTTTTCTCGATCATTCTCTGCATTCCTTTTATTATCATCTATCAACCGTGTCTCATCTTGTCTTTCTTCACCCACAATTATTCCATTCATTCGCTTGACTTCGTGCGGTAATTTTATTCTACTAGCAAATATTGCTGTTTCTACCAATCGGATGACACTTCCCTGAAAACAACACATCACTTATCGAACGAATGTTTGCAGTGATCATAGAGTAGCGGAAGTATAAACCATACTAGGCGGTCACATAACAAGAAGCAATAGTATGCGTAGTTATGGAATGGCATTCGGGTGGTAAAGGGGATCACGAGCTTGAAGAGCGAATGAATTGATGAAGTCGAAAAAGAATTTGGGATAACATGAGAACGCGAGGTAGCACTGAGGATGAAACTGAAGTGCATTATGGCCTGGAGCGGTATTTGCCATCCTGACTAATCCAGACAGTTTATGTGATTCTTAGGCGGTGGCTTTATGGAGCTGATTAACCCAGATCATCCCTTACAATGCTTCGCGTTTGATGTAATCACGCTCTTTGATTATGATCACGTAGTCACATATGTTCTTTGAATTCCCAGTTCTCGATGGAAGGTGATTGATTGATGAATTATTAGGGAAAGTGTGCATTTTGTAAGAACTGAATCATCAGTGAATACAGCAGTCCTGTTATATGAGTGAAACAGATGTTGATATTGCGAAGAAACTGACCGAGAGTAGCACAGTTAATATAATTAGCATTGACTGCACTCTATTGTTCACTATGATCATTGTAATTTCTGAAATTAAATCGTAATATACGCGAAGATTATATGGTTTTGAATGGTTTAATAATGCATTATATGGTTTAATATGGTTTAATTATGCATTATATGGTTTAATGAAGATTATGCATTATATGGTTTAATCATCCAAAGACTGCTCTTGAATAATGTTCATTCAACAGACTTTCAGAAGAATGCAGGCAAGAGCAGTTTACCCATTTAGTCTATTCTCAACGAATTCAAACCTGGAAACAGATACAAAACTATCAGTTCGCATGTTTACTATTCGTTGTCGAGATCCCTGCCGACCTATCAATTCACTGACTGAACTAACATTTGAATTGACGTTCGAAATTATATTCCAAATGTTCATATTTGATTTCGCATAATTAGGTAAATTTTCATTTGGAAATGACACAGTGTTATGCTAATTATCTCAACGAATCGCATTTCGCATATGAGCTCAAATGTCAGAATGCATCGTGAAACATTTTTTTGAATTGCTAACAGTAATTCTAACAGAAGTTTGAAACAAAAATCAGTGATAACGGCTTTATTTGCTGTCTTTTTACAATCCGTCTATATGTGGTAATTACTTCAATCCGTTCATCGAATCAGATCAAAATATTTTCGAGCTGATTTGTTCATGTTATAATAGCGACAGTTTTATGGCATAAAACACCATTTTATATGGGAACAACGAATTTGATCAATACAAACGCCATAATGTTGATGTTCCAATAGCAAGTGAAGTCACGTATATTTGTTATCAGTTTAGTATTATCAAGTGAAACAGTACCAAAGAAACGCTGCTAATGAGCTGCTTCGGAATCGCATTTTAACAGTCACAAACTGAGATACAACTCTGATCTGCGAGCACAACTTTCTGAAATATTTTGAGAGCAATGAAATGAATATTTGTGTTGTGAGAGTCATCAGTACAATCGACATCGCCACCTCTAGATTTACATCCTCACAAAGCGTCACTACGAATCTCGTACGGTTTGCTCTTGTTGCCGACTCTCATTGGTCTTTTGAACAGATTTCGACGACGATGTCAATTCACAATCTGTGCAGTCGCCGTCTTACTGAATCGTTTAACTATGTCGTTATCGCGTTTCATTATCTTTTTTTTCCACAGTTTTGCCTTCGTCACTGACAACGCTGCCACTAGTCTCATCTTGCTCAAAGCCCAAGGGCTCAATCAAGTGCAGTTGTCAGCCCGTGCCTGCCTGCTCGTTCAATGCTCCTGGCTCTCCCTCCCTTCATTGGGAATGCACTTAGACGTTGTTATATTCGTTTCAAGTGCATTTGTTCGTTAGAGGTCTTCGAACTAACCACATTTGAATGATTCAGCAGCTAATTTCTGCATTGTAATACTTTAATGCAATTTTCTATGAATGAAACAGCTTTTCTTACTTTTTCTACTCGAATATTCGTGCAAGCCAGTCAAGCCACAATTTTTAGCCATTTTACTGATACGAATGTTTCGTGTCTCCTCTTCATTTCGTTAACTGAAATGATGTTCAGTTTGACTCGTTCAACGACTTGTGATTATAAAAACTCCATTGTTATTCTTTCAGAAAATGACTGAAGTAATTAGATGACAAACTTGTGGTGTTTTTATCAAAACCATTTTGATGTGCATGAAATTGTACATTGATTTCAACTTATTATTAATAGTATTAAAGATGTACGAAAAAACCATCGAATTGTTGTCAGATACAGCTCGACGATCGATAAAAAATTCCGACGTTTTATGCGAATATAGC